TCAAAGAGAAACTCAGGTACTTCAATGGAGTGGTCAGAGTCTGTTTCAAACTCTTCACTCATAAACCAATAGCACAGGGTATATATATGCACAGCAGATTCAGTGACAAAGAGAAAAAATATAAAAGTAAAGTCAGATATACAATATATGTGTTAGAAAACAATGATAAGAACAACAGTTAGTGTTTCGATCCCCGGTAACGGCGCCAAAAACTTGTTGGGTGGTTTGCTAATGGTGAAAAAATATAAGTTCTGATAGGGGACGTTTCTCTGTTCTTGCAGAACACAGATTTATCCCTTTGTTCCAAACCCAAGTGCGCAAGTGCACGTATCAAGTAATAAAGGGAGTATTAATGGCCAAATTATCGTTCCCACGAGGATAGAGTGCTAATTATTGTTTTATCACTGTTTATAAAGAATGAAAATGAGAAGAAAAGTTAGTAAATGAACTGTCTGGTCAAACGTTCCCTACTGTCTTGACAACGTTCCTCAGGAACAGTAGGTTCAATATGATGGCAAACAGTTGCTCGTTGCGTTATGTATGTGATCTTTCCTGTTTAGAAGAAGGTGAGATAATAATCATTGGAGTTTTTATAAGTACTAAATAAAATAAAATAAAAATTACTAAAACAGAAATAACTATAATCAAGAGACAACAGGGTGATGGTCAAAATAGTTTAACAGAAGGAACGGATTCACTGCTTCACTCTTAAAGGGGCTATTTTCTCTGCTCAAGACTTAGCACCTTTTGGCTTAGCCCCAGTTTCTTTGCCTGCCAACTCTGATTCCTCAGCTCATGGTCTAGATGGCTCACAAGTTTCCATATTCCTATGGCTCCCTTGACTCCAACAGGTACTTAGTTCAGAACCTTAAAATGGACGAGTTGGCCCCTTATTCCTAAGGTGACCAGTAGCGTTTTTGCCATGACATCTACCTTCCCCCAATGGCTAAGCTGTCTGAAATCCTTTTCTTATGGAAGTTCCTTTCTCAGTATGTACCCAATTTCCATTGGCGCACAATGAATATAGCTTACTTGGCCAAAGAAATACAAAAAGCTTCGGTCAAGAGTTTTGAAAACAGTTCTTTAAGAGTTTCACACTTTACCTGTTCCACAGATAGTTCAGCTCATGGCTAATAGTTTAAACATAATTATTCTCAACTGAGATCACATAGACCCGAGATTCAGTCAAGAGATAACGATTGGAACGAAGAGAAAAACACTTATATTAATTTAAAAGACAGTTTACAAAAAGAAACTGAAAATGGAGAAAGATGGGTATTTGCTCTGAGGAGTCTTGATGGTTGTTTACAGAGAAGAGAAGAGGGGTTGTCACTTAACTACAGTTACAACTTAAAATTAAACTAAGTTACTAACTACTACTAAGTGATCTCTTCCTTTCGGACTGCAAACCCCTCCAGGGTTCGATGATGTTTTTGTGTGAGGGTGGTCCTATTTATAGCTGGAAGAGGAGTGGCAAGACTGTAATTCCTTTGGAGCTAGTTGCTTGAATGAGGGGACGAGACTGTGGCAGCAGAGTGTGAAGCTTGCGTGAATTGCTGGATGGAATAGGATTTGGTGATGATTAGCCGTTGTTTGCAGACCTTGCCATGCTTTGCTTTTGTTTTCAACCAATGAGAACTCTTGATTCTCTGCTCTTCACGTTTCCAGCTGCTCAGTTGGTGCACCGCCTTGCTTTTTAGAAGTCTTTAGCTCTACGTTACCTGCAAAGTGTACAGAAGCATTAAATGAATGGAGCAGGTGCATTAAAAGCGTCTCAGTCCGTTCCCCTTTTAATATATTTTAAAGGAATACGTTACCATCCGTTCCCCCACTGTGTTTTTGTCACAAATGTGTAAAACAAGTGATTTTCATGCTGAAGTTTCCCATCAGATGAGGGAACGTATGGTATTTTGCCATCAAAATGGGCTTAGATGGGAACGAATTTATGTCCCATCAGTACTCTTTTATTACTGTTGCTAGTAACATGACTAGTACTCCTACTACTCATATCATGTTTCCTACTATACCTAACAGAGATCTTGGGAAAACTTATAAGTTACGCCCTTCGGTACACAATGCAACCATTGAACTAGAAATCGCTATAAGGGATGACCCCTGAATCCCTTATTGACTTCAATTGGGACACCACCAGTAAGCCAGTTATCTATTCCAGCATCAAAATCATACCAAAAACTATCAATTTAACATATAGTCATTTTAAAACAATTAACATCATATATCATGCATATTAAGCTCAATCAATCAAGTTTTAAGATAATTTTATGCTAAATTATGCAACAAATTAATAGTTTTGGGTATGATTTTGATGTATGGTGTCGTCTCTCCTTTGCTGAATGAATTTGTTAATTCTCTAAATGAGAGGTGATTAGTGATATATGATGTTAATTGATACAAGGGTTAATTTAGCATAAAATTATGCAACAAATTAATACAAGGGTTAATTTACTCAATCAATTAACTCTCATTTATAGAATTAACAAATTCATTCAGCAAAGGAGAGACGACACCATTAGAGGAACCCACGTAAGGTTTCAAAATAAAAATATGAAACACACAGTGAATATGGCACTTGTCAGGGATTTACAAATGATACACAATGCTGCTAATCACCTTCTGGATTACAAATAGGCTAAATTAACCCTTTGCGAGCTTGTGGTTGGAACATTGAGACACAAGGACAAAGAACAATGATATGGCCGTAATTTAACCAACACCAGATCACTAACTATGAGTTGTCTGTCTTGATGATGTTTGTCAGCTAAGAACTTCGTACGCTTATGTGCTTACTACAGATTAAGTCATAACTTGACCAATAATTCATTATGGTGACAAAGGATGTCGCCCAAGGTCTCAATTGGTACGAGACCCCTAGGGTGATGAGAAATCATTGTCACAATGCTTCCATATAAGGCCTGGAAGGGAGATATCTTAATGGGGGAGTGCAAGATTGTATTGTAATGTAGCTCAGCCTAAAGCAAATACAAAGCCCATTTAGCATGCTGATCATGGCAGAACGAACACATGTACTACTCCAGTTACCAATTCATGACCTCAAAATGATCATCAGGTACCATATGCGGACCTAGCTTCCTACTAAAGAACAAGATAACGGCACCAATCCTATGGGTGAAGACTACTCCATAAACCCTGAGTTTACTGAGATAGTAGAATCTCACCTCGTCTAGGGACTTCAGGTGTACCAGCAGTAGCAAGGAGAATACAAGGGACTAGAAGTCTCAGCCGCTGAGGATTGGATGTGATATTTGGATGATTATATAGATGCTTTGTAGCATAGTATGATTATGCACATGTATCGATTGTAGATATTTGGAGAGGTCTGAGTAGTTTATGTATATTGTATTGAGGGTTTGTATATGTATATGGATATGTATGTATATATTATTAGGTGAGTTAATGTCAAGATTGGAACAGAGTTATATTCTAGATTGTGCCTAGAAATAGATTAGACTTTGTTTCTTACAGATATATGATTAATCTGTGGGGTTTGTTCCCTAGCTAGTCCAATTTTCAGTTGTTATGTTGTCCCTGTTGCTATATTTGAAATTATATGTGTTATCATTTTCAAATATTTTTTTGATCATGCGATATAGTTATGGATTAGCAGGTAAAGTAATGATTATGATGTGAATTATTATGGGTTATATGAGCACCAAGGCATTGTTGGTCCTTGTCTGCCACCTTTGTCAATTAGGTACCATTTTAGGTTTAAAACACACTTTTGATAAAGTGAGATATGTTAAATAAACAATGAAGGTGCCGTCAAATTTTAAAATAAATGAGCAGTTTTCAAGCCAATTTTGAGAGAGCATATCTCCCTCCACAAAGGTCCAATAGGTACGTACCATATATCATTTTGAAGATTGCAATGTCAGCTATATTGTGTCAAAATTCGGTATCATTTGAAGTTGTGTAACATCCTGTAGGTCCGGTTGAGTGGAGATTGCCCAAAGAGGCATGTGCAGGGGGATATCAGGTCTGCACTTTCCAGGAATTGTTTCTCCCTCAATTCTTACTCAAATTAGGCTCATGATATATCAACTTAAATCTCAAGGTGTCTAGTATTCTATATTTTGAGAGCAATTGGTTGAGTGGTTTATACAGAATCGCAGAAATGGTGAGGGATGCTTGGTGCCCTGTTTTGGATTGGCTGGCAGTTTTGCTTGTCCAATTTCAAACAGTGACAACCAGAGCTAGTGAACTCCAAATGATGTGTGTGATACCTTGTTGGAAAGGTAATTGAGTCTAGATTAACATACTAAAAGATGAGAGGCTTATAGTTTGGGGGTCACACACAGTGACCAGAAAATAGAAGCGTGTTCAATTATAGAAAAACCGTAAAAGTGAAATTTACGCTAAGTGGATTTATGGGAATCCCTTAGCAGCTTAGAATAAATAATGTATGATAGTTAGGCTTTTATTTTATTTACTTCCGCATTTTGAATTCAGTTATGATCACATCTTATGTCATTACATTTTATTATTGTTTTTAAACATTTACGTAATCAAAAGGAAAAAGTTTACCCGCATTTTTAAATGAATTGTTGTGATTATAACTGCGCTTAATATCATAATCAATGTTAACAATACTGGTGTACAACGGGCTATTATATTTTATGGTATCAGAGCAGTTTACTAGAGAACTCTGATTATGCATGACTGTGTTTTGTGTTGCATAGTTGTCTGTAGACTCTTTATGATTAATGTATATGTAATTCCTTAGTGTGGGTCTGATAAGCTCATTTCATTGTGTTACATGTGCAGTTATCATGAGGAGGATTCGTGGCGATCGTGGGACATGAGGTGCAGATCCACCACAGCCTGATCTGGTTACTGCTGTCCTGAATGCTCTGCAGGCTGAGACGGCAGCTAATAGGACTATGAAGGAAAACCTGATGAAAAATAATCAGGATATGATGCAGGCCTTCATGAATGAGATGTAGGCTGAGAGAGCTCATCATATGAGGGATGATTCTCCTCCTCACACAGCTGCGGTGACTCCTACACCTACGCCATCTGTTACACCCCAGCAAGGGGAGAGTGGAGCTAGTCACCATACTGGTGAGACTAGTCTGCCCACTGTTGATCCTACTTTTGTTGCTCAAACTTCTGTTGTTGCTGAGCAGTTTGATGAGGCTGTTGATGAGGAGAGGAGACTTATTTCCTTCAGAAAACATAAACCTCATACGTTTCTGGGGTCAAAGTACCCAAAGGTTGTGACTACCTGGCTGCAGGGGATGGACAAGATTTTCCAGGTTATGAGGTGTCCAGATCCTCAGAAACTTAGTTATTCTGTATATATGCTGGAGGGTGATGCACACGAGTGGTGGTGCAATACTTCTCGTCCTTATGTTATTCAAGGTGAGGAGATCACTTGGGCTCTATTTGGGGCTTATTTCATGAAGAGTATTTTTCCAGGGATATCCAGGAAGCAGAGTTGGGTCAGGGATCTTTATCTGTTGTTGCTTATTTGGCCAAGTTTAATGAATTGGTCAAGTTCGCTATTTATGGGGGTACTCTGCCTACTCTGAATTTCTTATCTGCAAAGTTTCAGAGATGGCTCAATGAAAAGATTGCTAAACGTATGTCAAATACTACTATATAACCCAATGTAAACTGTTTGAGATTGTATATGGCAGGTATCCAAAATCTAGTTCTGCCAGAGATCAAGAGGTAAAGAGGACGGCTGGTCCTTCAGGTTCTAATTATAGGGGTGGTTACCATTATAATAATAATAGAGGTAGGGGGTTGCAAGTAAGGCAACCTCCTGGTCAATTCAAGAGAGATGATGCCCAGAGGGGTGGATTTAATAACATAAATTCTACACCACAGTGTGAAAAATGTAAGAGGTACCACATGGGTCCTTGTACGGCTGGTCCAAATTCTTGTTTTATATGTGGTAAGGTTGGACATTATGTTAGGGAGTTTTATAGAAATATTGGGCAGGCTGCAAATCTGCAGGCCTTGCCATTTGTTCATACTGTGGGACATGTGTATACTACCAATGTGCAACAGACAAAAGAAGCACTGAATCTGGTTAAAGGTACAATCTTTATTTCTAATTTTGACTTATCTATTTTGTTTGATTCAGGAGTGATGCATTCTTTCATCGCAGAATATGTGGCTAAGGGATTAAATTTAATGGTAACAAGGATGATTCCCCCATGCATATACTACTGCTACAGGAGAGATTAACGATTCCTCCTTTATTTGTAAAGATGTTGAATTTGTGTATGAAGGAAGGGGTTATGTTATTGATCTGATTGTCTTTCCCCTGGCCTCTGTTAATCTGATTTGGGGTATGGACTGGTTGTTTCAAAATTGCACAATCATTGATTGCTGCAAAAAAAGGTTGATGTTATCTCCTGAGAAGCCCGCTGTTTGTCCGTCTTGATATCTGTCTGTCTGTCAAACTGTCAAGGCCTTGAAGGTTGGTGATCTGGGTTATGTACTACTGGATGGACTTGTTGGTGATAAGGAAGAGGAAATTCTGAATATTCCGATGGTTAATGAATTTGTGGATGTATTTCTTGATGAAATATCGGATTTCCACCTGAGATGGAGATTGAGTTCTCCATTGATCTGTTTCCTGGTGCGGGGCCTATCTCTTTGGCTCCATACCAAATGTCGCCACTGGAGTTAGTTGAGTTGAAGAAATATATTGAGAAGTTATCTGCAAAGAATTTTATCAGACTGAGTGTGTCTCCATGGGGAGCACCTATTATATTTGTGAAAAATAAGGGTGGTAACATGAGATTGTGTACTGACTACCGGCAGCTGAATAAGATTACTATTAAGAACAGGTACCCTTTGCCACGCATTGATGATCTTCTGGACCAGTTGAGGGGAGCGTGTGTATATTCTAAGATTGATCTCCGGTCTGGATATCACTTGATCCGGATTAAGCCAGAGGATGTGCCTAAAATGGTGTTCCGAGCCAAATACAGACATTTTGAATACCAGGTGATTCCATTCGGGATTACTAATGCCCCGACAGTTTTCATGGACTACATGAATCGCATCTTTAATCCATATTTGGATCAGTTTGTTATTATGTTCATTGATGACACCTTGATTTATTCCAAGAGTAAAAAGGAGCATATGGATCATCTAAGGACAATGTTCCAAGTGTGAATTCTGATTATCTGATGTACAATTTCTGTGTCATGTTATTTCTGCTAGTGGTGTTGTGATGGACCCGAGTAAAATTGATGTGGTAAGTGACTGGGAATGACCTAAGATTGTGACTATGATCAGGAGCTTTCTGGGTTTAGCTGGGTATTACCGTAGGTTTATACAGGGTTTTTCTACAATGATACTACCATTGAACCGATTGACATGAAAGGATACTCCTTTTGTGTGGACCCAGGAATGCGAGGAGTGCTTTTTGACTTTGAAAGAGAAATTGACTACTGCTCTTGTGTTGACTCTTCCCGATCCAGAAGGTGAGTTTGAATTATTTTGTGATGCTTTTAAGAAAGGTTTGGGGAGTGTTCTGATGCAAGAAAGGAGAGTGGTTGCTTATGCATTTAGGTAGTTAAAGCCTCATGAGGAGAATTATCCGACTCACGACTTGGAGCTTGCTGCTATTGTTTTTGCATTGAAAATCTGAAGACATTTTATGTAGGGGATGAAATTTGTTGTGTTCAGTGATCACAAAAGCTTAAAATATTTGTTTGATCAGAAAGAGCTGAACATGAGATAGTGGAGATGTGTGGAATTCTTAAAGGATTATGATTTTGAACTGAAATACCATCAGGGTAAAGCTAATGTAGTGGCAGATGCTTTGAGCAGGAAGTCTGTCAGTTTGTCTCTTATGATGATGTGGGATAATGAGGTGATTGAACAATTCAAAGATTTGAAAATAACTGATTTCTTTGCAGGTAGGATTAGTGATATTGAATTGACAAGAATTGAAAATTAGTTACTGGAGAAGATTAAAGAGACTCAAATACAAAATGATAGTGTTAAGTATCTGAAGGGCCAGCGTGGCATATCTTGGAATGAACATGGACTATTATTATATTATGGCAGGATTGTTGTGCCAAAGGTGTTAGCAGAGGAGGTTATGACCAAGCCCCATAAGGGTCAGTATGCTATTCATCCAGGTGCGACGAAAATGCATCAAGATCTGAAAGTGAAATTCTGGTGGCCTGGGATGAAAAAGGATGTTGCAGAGTATGTGTCAAAGTGCTTGATTTGCTAGAAAGTTAAAATTGAACATCAGAAACCAGCTGGTCTACTTCAGCCACTTGATATTACAGAATGGAAATGGGAGAGCATCTTTATGGATTTTGTAGTTGGTTTGCCTCGGACTCAGGCTGGTTACGATTCTATTTGGGTTATTGTGGATAGACTTACGAAGTCTGCACATTTTCTGCTAGTGCGAGTGGATTTCTCTACTGAGAGATTGGCAAAGCTTTATATGAATGAAATAGTATGACTCCATGGGATTCCGGTTAGTATTGTGAGTGATCAGCACCCAAAATTTACTTCACGCTTTTGGAGAGCTTTGCAGTAGGCTTTTGGCACTTAGCTCAGGCTTAACACTGCGTATAATCTGCAGACTGATGGTTAGACTGAGAGGACCATACAGACACTTAAAGACATGTTGAGAGCTTGCACATTAGAGTAGGGTACTGCTTGGGACAGATACTTGTCATTGGTTGGATTTTCTTATAATAACAGTTTTCATTCCAGTCTGGGCATGGCACCATATGAGGCATTGTATGGACGGAGATGTTGGACTCCTACTTGTTAGACTGAGGTAGGTGATAAAGAAAGATTTGGTCTAGATTTTGTGCAGGAAACTACTGTGCAGATTGAGATGATTAGAGAGAAACTGAAACATGCACAGAATCGACAGAAAAGCTATTATGATAATAAACATAGACTGCTTGAATTTGAAGAAGAAGACCATCTATTTGTGTGGTTATCTTCGGTTACGGGTGTTGGCCGTGCATTGGGAGTAAAGAAGCTGAGTCCTAAATTTATTGGGTCGTATCAGATTATGAAAAATGTTGGATTAGTGGCCTATCAGATTGCCTTATCTCCCCAGTTAGCCAATCTACATGATATTTTTCATGTGTCACAACTACGACGTTATATTCTGGATGAATCACATGTGGTGATACCGGATGATATTGAAATTCGGGAGAATCTGAAGACTCTTGTCAGGCCTGTTGATATACTTAACCGCAGTGAAAAGAGACTGAGAAGCAAGATTATTCCAATGTTAAAGATTCAGAGGGGAGGACGCACACCTGAGGAGGCTACTTGGGAGTGGGAGGATGAGATTCTCTGCCTATATCCTAAGTTAGAGGACAAGTATGATTTTAATTTTGCGGACAAAATTTCAAAAAGGAGGGGTGAATATAACACCTCATAGTTTTAAAACATGTAAATCTAGTTTAAATAAGGATTAAAAGGTAGGATTAGTGAAAATCCTGAGTTTTGGGTCAAAATACGTAAAAAGGGTAAAACGGTAATTTGACAAACACGTAACCCTAAACAGTAAAATGTTAGCATAAGGTCTCAAATTGGAAAACTAACCCTGAAAATGGATTCAGAACGGAAAATTGAGTGGTTAGGCAAGTTTTTGGAAATTTGATGAATAGTATTTTTATCGGGTTAAAATACAGCGGTACTTTGCACCAAAAAGTGTGCCGAGTAAAATTTGAGCTATAGGTTTGAATATAAGCTGGAAGTGGTATGTAGGACTAAGAATTATGATTACTGATGAAATTTGATTAAAATTATGGATTTTGGATAAACATGCTCACAATACACATATCAACTTAAAACTGTGATTTCACCGAATGATCGAAATACTCCAGATTCATCTGCTCAAGGACAATTAAAGGACTTTGGTGAATGTTAAAATTTGGAGTATATAATTAGTCTAGGAATTATTTGGAGATTGGTGGTTTAAGTGGAAGATTTGAAATAATTTGAATTGAGTGAGGTGGCAAGTGGGACCCATATACTTAAGTGGCTAAAGCCACATGTACACAACACTATTCAAGCTACACCTTCTCTCCTCCTTCCTCTCCAAACTCGCGGCCATTGATGGTTATTGGGCAAAAATTCATGCTCAGATTTCTTCCACATTAACTCACCAAAATCAACAAAGTTTGTCATCAAATTTTATGTAAACCACCATCCAAACCCAACCCAACCATCCTTAGGCCTTGAAACTCTCTATATTTGGAGAAATTCCACACCCAAGCCCACAGATTTTGAGGAAAAAAACGGTGTTCTTGGAGTTGTTTGCTTGAGCTATTGCTTGAGTATTGTGTGGAGGAGTCCTAGGCCTTGATCCTTGGTAAGTTTCTCTACCTATTGGTGAATATTTTGTTGGATTGAAAATTGAAACCTAAGCTATGTGTGGTTGAATTGATGTGGTTAAGGACTTCAAATTGAAATTGTGTATTAGATAAATGTGTCTTAGAATGATATTTTATGGTAATTGAGCTCATAAAATTTATTGAGAAAAAGTCTTGTAACTTAGGCAAATTTGTGGTTGGATGAGTATGACTTTGTGAAAATAGATTGTTGTGTGATTAGGAAATTTAGTTTTGGAGTAATTGTTGTGGTTAATTATATGATGAATGATGTGTTTAATGTGTGAAAATGGATTGAAAATCCCTTGGTGGCATTGCATGTAGATTTCAGCCAAGGAGGAAAAAATGAGAAAGGATGATGCAAAGTTGGTATAATTGAGTTTGTAATGGTTTGAACCAAGTTTAAATAGATTGTGTGATTGTGTAATGCATGTGAATTGAAAGCTGAATCATTAGATGCTCATAGGTGTTGGTTTCGGCCTTAAAAGGGAAATTAGGGAAAATGAAGTTGAGTTGTGATTAAATGAAGTTGTGGACTTGAAATGAGGTTATGGTAGGCTTAGAAAACCATAGGAATGTTAAAAGAAAATTTACAACATGATATGTGTAAAATGGCCATGAAGGCCGAATTGGTGTTGTGTGTGGGGGAAATGTATTGTTTTGCATTTCAACTTGATGTACAAGTGAATTGATGATCCTATGTGTGATCATTGTAGGTTGCCTCCCACGGACGTGATCTTTGATGATTGAGCTTGGTTGATTGCCTTTGGTCCTTGACCAAAAAGATTTTGGTAAGTAATTATGTATCATTTGCATGATTTAGTTTATGACCAATTGAATGGTCTTTGTGGTGCTAATGGGAATGACCTTTTGTGTAGGCATTTATGATTGGAATAAGTTAGAGATAACTTGCATTTGAAGCTACCTAGCTTGTGAGCTTCAAGAAGGTAATCTCTTGGTACTGGGGTTAATCCCCGTGTGTGTTCCACCATGCCCATTTGGGTAGTGGTTGGAAGTTGTTTGTGCAATGGTGTGATTATAACATGTTCATACATATGTATATATTGGGTACATCGAGTTGTACCGTATCTCTGGCCAGTAGATAGTTGTCGTATGGCGATGGGGACTTTCACTGAATAGGTCTCCGTAGGGAGTTTCAGTTGGTCTGGGGCCGTGGAGATGTTATCTGTTTAGGAGCACTCTAGGAATGTCTCGGGTGTTATAGAAGGGGGCGCCTCGAATGATGTTCCTGGAACATATTCTTGGACGAGAGCTCGTAGGCTATATGTCGAGGCCAGTAGGCCGGATGGTGCATGGTTTTGGCTATGACCATTCCTGCTCCATCGTATGTCTTTCTCTTTTATGTCCCTATCTCTCTAAATCCATTTCTACATCCATCTGTCTGTTATATCCCTACTTCTCTAAATCCCTTGCTATATCCCTATGTTGTTATAATTCATAATTATATGTTATATCTGAGTGAGTCATTGGGCGGAATGATCCTTCAGAACGTTTGGATTATTAAGATATATTCGTATATCTCACTCCACATTATGGGACTATGTTTCAGGTGGTGGTAGCAGTACTTGAGCATTGGAAGAGGCCCACGAGATGAGTACATGAAGTCTTTGAGTTTTAGTGTCATTTTGCATTTTGGGCCATATTTGGCATAGGCTAGACTTAGTACATGAACATTGTGTTGTATGAGTTATGTGTTTCATGCTTTTGTTGTTCATGTAGTGTTATTTGGCTAAGTCTAGGGTGTTGTAATTATTGGCATTGATGTAATTATTGTAGTTATATTTACATTTGGATAATTGTAATTTAATGCTTTATGGACATTGTGTAAATTGTAAAGCATGTATGTGATGAAAGGGCAATAGGCCTATTTTATGGACATTGTGTAAATTGTAAAACACTATTCATCATCTTTCTCCATCTTACAATCTCTATTAAAACTAAGTTTAAGGAGTGGAAACTTACCACAAATGGTTGCTCAACCAAGGAATGATTTCTCCTAAAACTCCCAAGAAGTGAAATGCCCACAATCTTTAAGGGTTCGAATTCATGGGAGGAAGAAATCTCACACCACAATGCTCCTTACTCAAAACCAAGCTAGGATTAAGTATGAAAGGAAGATTCTAAGTGGTTTAGGCTTTGGAATGGAAGGATTTGAGCAAGAAATGGAGGAGTTGTGGTTTAGGGCTCACACAATGGTCTCTTACTCTCTCCCTCTCTGTTTGGCGTCGAAGAAGAAGAAGAAGAAGAAGAAGAAAATGTGAGGAAGGTACTTTCTTTCACCACTTAACATGGTTAAGTTATTTCCACCGACTAATAGCTTATCTATCAATTTAACTCCGATCACTTCCAAACTTTACACAATGGACTAGAATATTTTTCAGTAATATTTTTAACTTTGCTTTTATATTTTGGGTACTTTTGCTACACACATTTTTACCCCGTAATTTTCACTGACTTCACTTTTTACCTAAAAAGTGATCTTAATTCATTTAGGAGATATGTTATTCTACCTACCACTTTTTTATTCAGAATCTCAAGAAGAGAGAGAAAAATAAATGTTAGTTAAGATTCTGATCTAATGGTGTTTTAGAGTGGTAGGCAAAGGTAGACAGAAAAAAAATGGTAGGTAAAATAACATATACCTTCATTTAATTAGATATTTTACCTAATTCAATCCAATAATACATACTTAATTACGTAATTACATTTAATTTACTAATTAATTTGATTAGAGCTATTACAAAATATCCTAAATTTTTTGCCTAAGCCGCAAAACACGGTTGTTTTGTAGGAGAACTCTTTATTATCAAGTATCAACTATTGTAGGAGAAATGTTAATTCCTTAAAAAAAATGTTGTATTTTTCTGCAACGTTATCTTTTTTTTTTTTTAAATATCCTATCGGTTCCCAGCTTCGTGACTAGTCCGATTTGGAGCAGATCCAGAATTAAGACTTTAAATCTCTTTCAAAGATGACATTAGAGAGAATCGAACAGATACTCTCATCTCACATATTTTATATGCCAACTAAACTACCACCATTTGGTTATTCAACGTTATCTAATCTTTTCACAAACAATCCTGTTTGATCTAGTCGTATTAAGGTTAGTTTTGTCCAAAATTAGTTTTTTTTATTTTATTTTTTTTTATTTTGTCTTACAAATATGGTATGAAAGTTCCACGTTACAAATCATTTAAAATTTTCGCCAATAACCTATTTCTAATGACTTTGAAAACCAATTATTTTATCTTAAAATAGTTGCATACGCTTGAAGATTGAATTAAATTTTTTTACAAAAACCCTAACTATTAGTCCATTGACTTCAATTTTTTAATATATAATAAAAGTTTATATCATAGTATATATGATTCTAAAAATTCGATTTTTATATATTTTCTGAAACAGTATTATTTTAGTACAATCGAATTTTTATATATCATAAGAATAGATTTAGTTAGATTTAGAGATTACAATCATATAGTTCGAAAAAACTGCTAATAACATGTTTGAATTAGATTAATTTTTAGGGAAAAATAACTTTTTAAAAAAAAAAAAATCGAAAACTCTCTCTATTGGGTGTAAGTTATTTTTTTAAAACATGTAAATTACTTTTTTTTAAAAAAATTTGAAAAAACTTTCTAGACTCTACCTTAGGTTTTCTAAGGACATCTCTCATCTCTCTGTGTATATATATAAGAGTAGGATATCATAATAACCAATTAGTGCTACTACCAATCAATTTTACCGTTAGATCTATTATGTTGATCCAACGGTTATATTTATTTCCATCTTTGTATGGTCATGATTCTCCATATTTAATACTTTATATTTATTTTTACCTTTGTATGGTTATGATTTTTTATATTTATATATGGAGAAAGATATTGTAACAACCAACTAGTGTTACTACCAATCAATTTCACCATTAGATCGATTATGTTGATCCAACGGTTATATTTATTTCCATCTTTATATAGTTATGATTCCTTATATTTAATACTTTATATTTATTTTCACCTTTGTATGGTTATGATTTCCCATATTTAATGTGAAAGCATTAAATAAATATGGAAATAAATATAACCGTTGGATCAACATAATCGATCTAACAATGAAATTGATTGGTCGTAACATTGGTAGTAACACTAGTTGGTTGTTACAATATCCTACCCCTAATTTTAAATAGTATAAATTTCTAGGGAAGGCTTCAACCAAAAAAATAAAAAATAAAATAAAATTGAATAATTCTTCTACTCCCAAGCAAGGCAAATTGATGAATTTATTTACTAAATTCCAGTGTAGAAGAAAAGATAGATATTTACTGGATCTATAATCCATCATCATTATCAAAGTGTTTTGAACATATTGAATTCATGCCTGTAATGGATTTCATAAGGCGCAAAAATTTGTTGTATGTTTTTATTATCTTGAGTTGTTATTTTTTAGATGTTGATGGTATTGCCAAATACAGCATCACATCATTTCAATTCATCAAGGACCCTGAAACTCTTACCTCCAATAGTGGAAACTTCACCTTGGGGTTCTTCAGCACTGACTCTACAAATCGCTATGTAGGAATTTGGTGCAAGTCCAACCTCACTGTCACATGGGTGGCTAATAGAAACCAACCACTGAATGATTCTTCTGGGGTTGTAACAATATCTGAAGATGGCAATCTTGTGGTATTGAATGGAAACAAACAGGTTCTTTGGTCATCAAATGTGTCCAATATTGCATCCAATTCTACTTCCCAACTTTCAGATTATGGAAGCCTTCTCTTGCTGGATAACACAACAGGAAACACCATATGGGAGAGTTTCAACAATCCTTCAAATACTTGGTTACCCCATATGAAAATTACAAGCAACAAAATAACAGGGGAGAAAGTAGAACTTACATCATGGAAAAGCCTTTCTGATCCATCCATTGGAAGCTTTTCTTCTAGTGTTGAACGCCTAAAGATTCCTGAAGTGTTCATTTGGAATGGAACCCAGCCATACTGGCGCAGTGGTCCATGGAATGGTCAAGTTTTTATAGGGGTACTAAACATGGGAACTTTGTATCTCAGTGGTTTTCAAGTTCAAGATGATGGTAATGGAACAATTGATGTATCTTTTACGGTATATGGGATAGGACCCTTAATGTATACCTTGAATTCCCAAGGCCAATTGCTGGAAAATCAATGGGATGATGAGCAGAAGCAATGGCAAGTTACATGGAATAGTCACGAATCAGATTGTGATGTTTATGGTATATGTGGCGCATTTGCAAGCTGTAGTTCACAGGGCTCACCAATATGTAGCTGTTTGAAAGGGTTTGAGCCAAGGAACAAAGAGGAATGGAATAGACAAAACTGGACTAATGGATGTGTTAGAAGCACACCTCTGCAGTGTGAAAGGACCAACAATCAAAACACAAGTGTGGATAGTAATAAAGCAGATGGGTTTTTGCCATTGCAGATGGTCAAAGTTCCTGATTTTGCACAAGGGTCATCTGTTACACAAGACACATGCAGAAGCGGGTGCTTGGAGAATTGCTCTTGCATTGCATATGCATATGATGATGCAATTGGCTGTATGTCTTGGAATGGGAACCTAATTGATATACAACAATTCCCAAGTGGAGGAACTGATCTTTACATTCGTGTAGCCTATACAGAACTTGGTGTGCCAGGTATTATCAGAACAAAAATTTATATATAGTTCTTTAATTTTCTATAGGCATAAATTCTTCAATTTTAAATTTTATATGTTTATGTTCCCTGAATTGCCGACCCAATTAATTTGGGATAACGGATAAATGTATTGTTAATGTTGATATTCCCTTGAATTACAGATAAAGGGCGAAACATAAAAGTCATCCTGACAGTTACAGTGATAATAGTAACTTTCATATTTGTCACTTGTGCATTTGTCATTTTTGGAAGGGCTTTGCACCCAGGTAATATACCACCGTTGTTAGATTTTATTGATATGGGATCTAAGTTTGCATGATTGATGTTTATAACTCCTGATATACCATGGCAATCTAATAAAACAGCAAAGAAAAAATAACAGTGGATTTATTCGATTTAACAAAGGTGAAACATCTGAATCTGTAGAACACACAAACGACAATGTAATTGGAGAATTATCACAAGCTAAGCTACAGGAGCTATTACATTTTAGCTTTGAAAAGCTTGCAACTGCCACAAACTACTTCCACTTATCCAACAAACTTGGCCAGGGTGGTTTCGGTGCAGTATACAAGGTATATTAAATCGAGCAAAGTTAATCATGTTTGAAGTCAATGTTTATATTTCTGTTTCTTGATATTGTATTGCAGGGGAAACTGCAAGATGGTAAGGAAATAGCAGTTAAAAGACTTTCTAGAGCATCTGGACAAGGTCTAGAAGAATTCATGAATGAAGTTTTGGTAATTTCTAAGCTTCAACACCGCAATCTTGTAAAACTTCTTGGCTGCTGTATTGAAGGAGAAGAAAAGATGCTGATATATGAGTACATGCCAAATAGAAGTTTGGATGCATATGTGTTTGGTTAGTTCTTTTGATGGCCCTTTAATATCTGGCTCATATTCAAATCAAAGCTTTCATGTATTACTTTATTAAAATCACTCCCCATTAAATCTTCATTAACGAGGGTAGGGTGAAGACAATCCTTATAAATCCATAACCTTTAAATCACAAAGAAGCCGTTTTACAACCCAATTTGTGAAGGTAGGGGTGAGAGTTAATTATATGCAGCCTTACTCTTATATTTTTACATAGAGACTACTTCCAGACCTTAAAATGTGACTTTCAAATTACAAAGAGCAATCTTACTGCAACTCCAAGACTTGCCACATAATTTTATTTTATTTTTCATAAAAAATAAACAATGGTTTCGATGATAGCGAGTTTTCTTGAAAGCATGCTAATATATGTTTTCTACAAAGCACGTTATGCATCTTCTGATAAATTAAAAATAATAAGCTATCTTTTGGTTTTTATTTTTGCAGATCCATCAAAAAATAAACTCTTGGATTGGAGAAAGCGCTTTAACATAATAGAAGGAATAGCTAGAGGATTGCTTTATCTCCACAGAGATTCCAGGCTAAAAATCATACATAGAGATTTGAAGGCAAGTAATATCTTGCTAGATGAGGAGCTAAATCCAAAAATATCAGACTTTGGCATGGCAAGAATCTTTGGAGGGAGAGAAGATCAAGCCAATACCCAAAGGATTGTGGGAACCTAGTAAGTGTGCCTTCTTTTTTGCCTAAGGTTAATGTCACATACATGGAGAATGAATTGTTATATTTCAATGTAGTGGCTATATGTCCCCTGAATACGCCATGCAAGGAATGTTTTCTGAGAAATCAGATGTCTTTAGCTTTGGAGTTTTGCTACTTGAGATTGTTTGTGGAAGACGAAACTCAAGCTTTTATGACAATGAAAATTCTCTTACCCTCTTGGGACTTGTAAGTCTCTAAAATTGATCCCTGGCATAATTACGGAAGTTTTGTAGTCTTTTTTCTCATAAAACTTCAAACTAATTGATTTTTGTTTCATTTTTAGGTCTGGATACAATGGAAGGAAGAAAATGTTATATCTTTAGTAGATCCAGGAATATATGATCCTAGCCTTGAAAAGCATATTATGAGGTGCATACACATAGGACTTTTGTGTGTACAAGAATTTGCTGCAGACAGGCCCAATATGGCTGCAGTAATTTCTATGCTTAACAGTGAGATTGCGGATCTTCCTCCTCCAAGGCAACCTGCATTCATCCTGAGGCAGAATATGCTTAGTTCACTATCCTCCGATGAAAGCCTTAAATTGTACTCCATCAACAATGTTAGTATTACAGACATCCATGGCAGATAGGAAACTTGGAGCTCTAGTGAAATTTTCAAAGCCAGTGATGACAACTGATATCATTAAAATTGTTGGAACTTTGTATGAATGTCTTTTTCATTGTTAAAGAATGTGGTACCAAACTAAGAGTCCTAAGAATTAAGTTTAAAGGGTTCAAATTTATAAAACGAGTAAATATCATATAAAATATGGTCTCTCACGATGTCAGTTTGGTTCCAAAATTTCCATGTGTACATATTGTTCAAAAGGATGAGAATTTTTATATACAGACCCACCAAATATTTTATATTAAGAATTTACAATTAGAATCATAAGAATTTACATGATAAAGAATTGAATAGCAATATTCAGCAGCTTGAACATTGAATTACGTAGAGCTAGGCATATTTTCATTCCAAGGTTCAATTACTTGATGTTGGCAACTCCATGGCCTGAAATACATAGATACATGTACTGTGCAAGCTATTATAAGTTGCTAAACTGTTTTTTTAAATTAACTTGGCTGACAGGTACAACAACAACCAAAATATTATAAAACAATTCAGTACATTCAACAGCCTTGATGCCAAAATCAAGTAGACAAAACATCCTTTTTCTAATCCCATCCTAGACAAGTTAGCATTTCTCATTTTACATAATCTCATACACTTGTCTTTTGTGCCTCCATGAGACTCATCCAGGGTGAGCTCACTCTAGGAATGAAATTCCTAAGAGACACTCTTATTCTTTTAAACCTGGCCAGGCTTACATCATTCATCAAAATACTAGAAAGCTCATTCATTTGTCATAAGGCATCATCAATCAATCCATTCAAAGTTGCTAAATATGAAATACATCACAACATATCATGTTCCCACTAAATCCAATACAGTTCATTGCAATGCACAGCTCATAGAATCATTCAAAGGGGGTCGAAGTTCATAGGCTTACCTCAATCCTTTAAGTCTAATTCTAAGAGTATACGGCTATAGCTGAAGTCTTTCCTCTACTATTCTATTTCGGCTCAAGGAAGAAGTTGCAAGGCTAGTGGGACCTCTTTTCAACAGTGGCAGCTTTGGACATTTTAGAGACAACCCAGTAATTTCTGCACTAAGATTAAGAATTCAAAATAAATAAGGGATAGGATATTGTGACACACAAATAATATCACGCACAATGTTATGTCCACATCTTAACCGTTGATTTCCGTCAATCAACGATTATCATTTATTGCGAATTAATAATTAATTAATGAGTTTGATTTGAAAAATGATAACCGTTGATTGACGAAAATCAACGATTTAAGATGTAGTCGTAACATTGTGCGTAACATTAGTTGCGTGTCACAATATCCTATCTAATAAATAAATGGAAAAAGTAACTAAGAGACTAAGGCCATGTTTGAATATTGTTTTCCAAAATAATTTTTAGATTTTTGGAAAAAAATAAATAAATAAAACTATTTGATAAGGTCTGTTGTGTAAAACTAGTTTTAAAAATTATAAGTACTTTTTTTGTTTATTAGAATTAAATTCAGAGAAAATATCTGAGTTATTTTTATTTTGTGTTTTGATTTTTAACTTTCAAAAAAAAAAAAAAATATCGAAAACACATATTTCATTAACTATTTTACAAAATAATTTTAAAAACAAAAAACACATAACACAATCAAATAGACCCTATCTATTTTGAAATAAAATTTTAGGAGAAATCTTATATATAAAAATTTTAAAAAATTAAAATTAAATTATTAATTTGATTTTTTAAAGTGTTGTAATATAAATTTTAAATTTAATATTTTTGTTTATGCCGTAAAAAATTTACTTGTATAGAAGTAAGTTATTCCCATTAACTTTTTTTTGTTTTCGTATCACACACTTATGTGCGAGTTTGGCAAAATAATTCTATAATAAAAGCAACACTATTTTTCTATAAATTTCTATAAAGATATTTGTTGTTAAATTAAGTTTTCAAAGAATTTTTTTTTTAGTATAGAAACTTTTCAAAGATTAAACCATCACCATAATAATTTTGTAGAGATTTTTAATTAAATCAATGTAAAATTTTCACTAATTTTATTTATATACGATGATAAAAAAAAAAAATCATATAGCCTATAGGTACTCTCCTTGAAAATAAACTAAAATAATTCACCTTGTTTGTCATATATGTATCTTGTTACCTCCTCAAGAGTAGCAAACAAAATCCAATGGCTTCACTCTCCACCACCACCATCCCTCCACCTATTACTACTCGTCGAAACTCTTCAATACGGGCACAAGCCTTGACCCGACCCGAACTCCCTTCTACTTCTTCATTCATTGCCGAATCAGAGAAACTACCCGTAACAACAGTGGCGTTGAGGGATGATAGGACACGAAGAAGAGCCATGGAAGTGGAGAAGCAGAAGGCCAAGGAAGCGAGGGAGAGGAAGGAGATGGTGAACAGGAAGATAGCTTCGCAGAAAGCAATGTCTGTGATATTTCAGAGAGAGGCCACTGAGCGACCAATGACCAGAGAAAGAAGAACGGCTATGCGTTGGGAATCTGCTTTCAAGGTCTATTTTTGTTTAATTTATTATTTGTTTTATTTTGGGATGAATGTGGTTGTCGATGCGGAAATAGGTTTGTGGGTATCTTTTTGTGCACTGTTTGTTTGGTTGGTTTAACGGGGTAGTGTTTGATTACGATGCACGGATGCTAACACAAGATACGACACGTCGACAAGTTAAATTTAAAAAATGATATATTTTGATACGTTGAGACACATTTTGATATTAAATAATATTTTTAATATATATAATATAATTTATATTTAATAAATATAACAGTCCATAATAAGTCATATAACCTATCAAATTTTCAAATTTCATAACATAAATATAAACAAAAATAATTTTTCGTACCTTGTTAATTTTCCATGTCAAATTTCATAACAGAAAAAATTGATTTATAAATGAATTTTTTTAATTAATAAAATAAAATTAGGACTAAAAAAAAAAGTATCTGAACGTTGACCATGTGTCGGAAAAAGTTGTCTGTGTGTCGAAAAAACGTGTCAGAGCGTTGACTGTGTATCCCAAAATATTGACCGCGTGTCGTATCGGACACGTGTTCGACACACAATAACGAGTCTGTGTTTCAGATGTGTTTGATAACCGCAAGTAGGGGTGTTCATCAACCGATCCATACCGATTCAAACCGCGGTGACCGAACCGAAAAATCGATAACCGAATAAACCAAAAACCAAAAACCGATTAAAAACTGCAAATTTTAATTGGATTGGATCGGTTTTTGGATGGGTTGATGAAAACCGATCTAATCCAAACCGATCCAATATATTAATTTCCTTCTACCTACTTGGGTATTTCCCTAATCATAGCGTAAAAAATTTTAAACCCAAGACTCATTAACCCATCAACTAAACCTAAGCAAAAATCTAGTCATATCTCATCAACAAAATTTTATCTTTGTAGAGCTTCATATCTCATTGCAAAAATTAAAAAATTATATTATAGTTTACTAATGCTCTTGTATTTCAAAAAAAAAAAATTATAAAGCCAATATATACAAAAGATGTTATTTGCACAATAATCATGAAATGAATTTTAGGATATTCAAAAAACCAAAAACCGATCCAATCCAAATCGAAAAAAATTGGATTGGATCAGATCGGATTTGAAAAAAAATCAAAATCAAATGGATGATTATATGATCAAATCGAAGGGATTGAATCAGATAATTTTTGCTTCTAAAATCGATCCAATCCAGACCGCGAACACCCATAACCGCAAGGGAACGTGAGGTTCTGTTTCTATAAACCAATTAGTACAAAAGCAAGAGAAATCTGCATTGGCAATTACAAGTGATCTGAACAATTTCATTGTCTCAAGCATTGTGCCAAGATTTGAATTGCCCAGTGAACCCCTTTTTGCTTTATTAGATAGTGTTCCTTCGTTTTTATTATTTTTCGGTACTGATAGTTTAAATTTGCTTCTGAAGATTTTTCTGAAAGAAAAACACAAAACAAAAAATTTACATTTTGTTAAATTTAATTTCTTGCAATTACACCACCGGACTTAGGGTTGACAAAATGGGCCAACCCGACTTGACCCGGCCCAACCCGCTTCCAATCCAAAAAAAACGAGACGGGTTAAGGTTGGCTCGAAGAAAAAAAAAGTCAAAAAACCCAACTCGACCCGAGCCGGGTTAGGGTTAACTCGCGGGTTGAGTCGAAAACATGGCTCGCGAGTTGGCCCGAAAAAATGACTCATTGTTTGGCTCAAAAAATGACTCGCGGATTGACTCAAAAAATGACTTGCGGGTTGACTTATTTTCAACTTATTTAAATGAATTAATTTCAGTTCATTTTTAGAATACATATACCATTTATTACTTATGGGTACAATGTACCAACCTCCTAGTGGATAACTAAGAAATTTCCTTCATTTAATTTCATTTATTAATTTCTTCTATCAATTTGTTTAGCCAAAGACCCAAGAATTTCGTCAAGTTTGAAGGGCAAAGCATGTAGGAAATAATAGAACACAACATCAAATGGAGCCCATTTCTCTGGAACTTGTATAATCTCTCCTTGCCAACACTTAACATTGTCATATTTATCTTTGATACAAGCCAATATCAAAAGTGAATCAAGCAAGAAAGTGAGAGATTTGAAAGCCGCGAGTGATTACAGTGTAGGTTCAAAACTTCAAACGGGAGTGATTGCTGGTTCATGGAAAAACGAGGTGCATCAATAATTGTTCATGTTATCTCTTATTCCTTCTGAGAAAGGATGAACCAATCGACGAGAGAAACTAATTTGGACTTTTTGACCATTTTGCCCCTAATTAAAATAAAAATTATCACTATATCTCTATTTTTAATTCATGTTTATAAGAAAGAACAATTGGACAAGTTAGAATCCCAAGCTAATGCTACCATTTACATTGATGTTCCTTGTTTGCTGATTAGACGTGTAAATATATTGATTTTGCAGAATACATCTCTTTAATCAAATTCAAAATAATT